TTTTATCTTATTATAGGACTTCGCTTCCGGAGGCCTTCACCTTGGGTTCCTGGTGACCCAAAATCAACAGCTTCGTCAAGCGTGCAAAGCAATCCTGTGAGACCTCTCTCCCCCTTGCACCACGGAGGTATATAATGTTTGACATGAAACTGACTCTATATAGGAGACTCCACGGTGCTTCACAAGCAGCGGTAACAATTGGTACCACGATTCTAGAAGACCAAGCTTTTGTGTCAAGCTTCACAGCAAAATCAAGACGGGGTCTCGCTTCAGCCTACCAGCTTACAACCTCGGTGCTCAATGAGGAGGGAATCAACTATATCAAGGGCGGGTGAGTATACAAACTCTGACGAGACATTATCCAAATCTTCATCTAATCCGGTCTTCAGAAACGCTGGCTTCTTCGTCTACGTCGATTTATCACCTTATCTTCCCGTTGACAGTGCTCTTTCTCCGCGACAACGGGAATTTGCTCTTGCACAGAGCCTTGTCGATGCTGGTGTCTTTTTGCATCCTGCAGAAGAGCATTCGCAGGATATTGGGTGGTTTCGGCTGGTTTTCTCTCAGGAGGAAGAGATATTGAAGGAAGGTCTTGATAGGTGAGTTCTTTGCTTATTATTGCTATACACTGGTTTGGTCGGTTGATTGATGATTCTTTCGTGACGTTTATAGATTGTTGGGCGTTTTGAAGAGTGCTTGAAGTGTGCTCCATGTCACCATCAAGACTTCAAGATTCAGCAGCACTGGGATAGAATCCTTTGTTTAGTTCATGACTAAGAGGCCAGGAATATAACTGAAAAATTGAAATGCTATATGCTATATGTTTTATTTTATTTTCGCAAAGTCATCAAGCATGATTTTCGAAACTGATAAATGAGACTGTATTTTTCAAAGAAATGTCGTTTATTCGACATTGACAAACTGGAATGTGGGAGTTCCAGGCACGGCATTCTCACCGGACAGACCCTCACGCTTCTCGCCAGTGCCAACAACCTCACCAGTCTTGCCACCCTCATCAACAGCAATGACCTCAATCTCCTTGAAACCGGAGGTGCGCTTGAGACCACCCACCATCTCGGAAATAACGGCGAACTCATCGAAGGGAAGCTTGCGGTCGAAGACAGTAGCGGGGGACTCGCCAGCGTGGACCAGACGGCGCTTCAGGCTCTGGACGAAAGGCATGGCCTTCTTCATCTCACCGAGCTTGCCGACCTTTCCGTTGAGCTCCTTGTCGTTGAAGGAGAGGTTCAGCGAGTCGAAGGACTCGCGCACCAGATCAATGTACTTCTCCTGCCAGTTGGGGTACTTCTTGGCAACGAAGATGGTAAGCTTCTTGGGCTTGCGGGGGTCGAAGCCAATGTTCTTGCCCTTGGAGAGCTTCTTGGTGAAGTTGGCCTCGGAGCCCATGATGTTGCTTGCGGTACCACGGACGTAGTTCTGAGCGGCGGTCAGCTCAGGAGAGGGCTCTGGTACGACAGGGAACTGAGCGAAGTGAATAGACTCGGACTATATGATGTTAGATCAAGGTTAAGCATGAAACGGGGGAAGAAAACTGACCTTCTTGAGAACCTCGAGCCAGATGTGCTCAGCCCAATGAGGAATAATGGGTGCCAGCATCAGAGCCTGCAGCTCAATGTAGCGCAGAACGGTATCGCGGTGCATGCCCACGCCGGCGGCGGTAGAAGCCTCACGGTAGCTGTCACGGGAGCTAGTGAAGTCATACAGACCAGACTTAAGAGCAAGCTTGAAGTCGGTGCTAGATAAAGAGTTAGGTATCGATGTCAATGAATCAGATAGAATGAAAACTTACTCCTGGTAATGTTTCTGGGTCTCACGGACCAGGCTGTTAAGCTCGTTGTTGAAGAGCTTGTCAGCGAAGGCATCAGCAGGGCCAGTGCGCAGAGTCTCGTCCTTGGCAACATCCTCGATCCACTCCTTCAAGGTGTAGAGACGCAGAATGTTGCTGTTAGCAACAGACTCCTCGAAGTTGGCATCTTCAATGCTGTCACCAGCATCGGCAAATGCAATACGGGTAGCATCGGCGCCGAACTTATCAACGGCATCCTTGAGAGTCAGGAAGTTACCGGTACTCTTGCTCATCTTCTCGCCGTTGAGGAGCAAGTGGCCGTTAGCACGGACACCACGGGGCCAGTACTCCTTGGGGAAGAGAGCAATGTGGATGTAGAGGAAGAAGGTCAAGTGATTCTGGATCAGGTCCTTGCCGGAGACACGGACATCAAGAGGGTACCAGTATTCGAATTCACGGCGCATTTTCTGCAGAGATTCCTTGCTGATTCCACTGCTAGAGATAAGCTCGTCGCTAATCTCCCGTCTTGTGAAGATGTAATCCCAGACCTCATCGGTCATCTGCTCCGCGGTCACCTTCAGGGAGCCGGTGGTCTTGCCGTACCGATCACCGTGAAGGAGGTGAGCGATGGTGTAGTAGGCCATGTAGACGGTACTGTCACTCAGACTCTCAACTAGGAACTGCTTGTCCCATGGCAGCTGGGATCCGAGACCGTAGGTTCTGGCACATGCCCAGCGGTTCAGCCAGGACAGATTCTTCTCGAAACCGTGCTTGCATTCGGCGGAGTAGGTGTTGAGGTTGTTGACAACGTGGTTCAGGGTTTCCTGCTGCCACTCGGCATCGTTCTCACCGTAGTTCAGGAACCACTGGCCCAGATAAGCAACAACACATTCATCACCACTACGGCTGACAACCTTGCCCATAGGGTCGGCGAAGGGGAAGGCATCCCCACTGTCGTAGAGATCCTTGCGGACCTTCTCCTTAGCATCACTGACGGACTCGCCCTTGTATTTACCAACGAGCATAGTTCCCTTGTAGAAAGCCTCCATGTAGGCCAAGTCCTTGGCCTGGGCAAGCTGGGTGACGTCCTTGGGAGAGTTGATCTTCAGCTCCTTGACCAGAGCAGCGGCGGTCAAGTTGCCGTAAGTAGGGGTATCAATGAGCGGGAAGATTTCCAGCTCAGCCCACTCCTTCTCGATACCATAGTACTCAGCCTTCTTCGCCAGATCCATCATGGTGGCGTAATCGTCGGGGCTGTCGGAGGGGACAGAGGTGACAACACCAGTACCCTTGGATGCCGAAACACTGTCCATAGGCAGAATGCGGACACCTTCGGTGTGGAAAGACAGAGGTGCGTTGACCAGTGTGCCGATGAAGGTGGAACCTGGTGTCTCAAGAACTTGCGGGAGCTCGTCTTGAGTCTTGGGGAACTTATCGCCGAAGAAATGGCCCTGGAAGGCCATGTTCCAAGCAGCACGCTTGGTCACGACAATGTACTCCTTGTCCTTTAGCTTGAAGAGACCGTAGTTGATCTTAGGGCCGACAAAGCAGCAAGTCTGACCATACATGGTCTCGGGACGCAGGGTAGCCGGAACGAAGTATACCTTGGCATCATCCTCGATCTTTCCCTTCACAAGCTCTGCCATTTTCGGCGACCACTCCTTAACCTGGAGCTTGAGCGCAGAGTATTCCTGAGGACCAATGCCCTCACCCTCAGTGCGGTCGTGGTCCATGCAAGGCTGGCCGTCCTTGGGCGAGTAGACGGTGTAACGGTTACCGTACATGATCTTGCCGAGCTCGTGCAGGCGGTTCATTTGCCAGCGCACGAAAGCATCGTAGTAGGGGTTAGCGTCGGTGGTGACGAACTGTCGGCGCCAATCGACGCGGGCACCCATGCTGTCAAGATCACGGATGGCAAGAGGGGGAAAGTGGTCGAGCCAGTGGGCAGCATCGGCAAACTTGTGAATCTCCTCCAGAGGAACACCAATTGCCAGCATGATCTGGAACTGGTATTTCATCTTGACGGTCTTGGCAGCGGCCTTGCTCTTCTTGCCGGAGAACTTCTCGCTTGCCTCAACCTTGGTTTCTTGTGTAGGGGCTGCGCGGAGGTCCTCGGCGGCCTCTGCCTCTTCGTTGTATCCTTCGAAACCCTGACCGAACTTCTTCACCTCGTTGGCGAGCTTATCGGCACAGGCCTTGATAGGCATACCGGTGCAGTGGAAGCCCAGAGGGAAAAGGGCACGCTTGCCCTCCATGCGGGCAAATCCAGCCATGAACTCCACCTTACTGGCAGTGAAACTGTGTCCGGCATGCAGAGTACCGTTCATGTAAGGGTAGGCCATAGTACCGAAGAACTTGGGGTACTTCTCACGGAGCTCGGCGGGGGTCATGGCACCCTGGGGGGCTTCCTCGAATGAGGGCGCATCAACTTCGAAAATCTTGTTGTCCTTCCATTGTGCCTGGTACTTCTTTTCGATTGCGACTAGGGTGTCTCGCTTTTCGGTCTGGCAAGCGAAATGTCAGTTAGTAAATGAAAATCGACGATGGTGGGGGAGGGGTATAATAACATTTTCCAGCTTAAGGGTATTCTTTGAGCTGTTGCTCGGATCGAGCTCAGCTACAGATGCAGCTGCGGCGGCCATTTTTCCTGATTGTCAGAATTGACCTGTAATTCCCTTGAAGAGCGGAGGGGATCAAAAGAAGCGCGGGGCGAGATATAAAATCTGTTTGATTAGTTTGTGAGTCAAAGGTATTTCAAGCGTATCGTATTTTACCGGGGGGGCTCCACACTCGAGATGTACTTTACGATGTTGTAAAGATGGATTGACGTGTAAAGGAGATGATCAATTGGGCTGCTTGACTCGAGATATATATGCAAATTAAGTCATCGGATGAATTCTGAGTCATTGTCTGTTGCTAGAGTGATATTTAACTAAACATGCTCTAACTATGTGACCTGATTAATACCATCTATAGATTGGAGGTCGCACGTGACTATCACGGAGCAACTTCTTCGCCGACAAGCGCATCTGCGATAAATTTCCCCGATCAACAAACTCGCAATTCCGGCCCTATATTACCTACCTATTCTTGAGCAAGAATCGAGCCAATTAATCTTGAACTCTCACCTTATCCCTATACCCACACATCTCATCGCATCAGGGCCAGTCCCTGTGCGGAACAGCCTTTCATCATGGTCAACTTGTTCAAGCGGCTTCGCAAGCTGCAAACTGTATGTATAGCTTCTCCCAGCTCTCCCTCTCTGGGCCCCCCTCCAAAAGTAACGCGGAATTGATGGACTAATATGAAATTGTTCTTGTCAACAGAGAGTAAGCCGAAACCCCGTCCCTTGTCTCCGACCCTGCAACCTCCGAGGCCGAACTCGCGTTGCCTCCCACGGTCTAGCCGACATGCAATCAATCAACTGACTCGTTCTTTCACTGTTCCAGATGCTCCAGGCCAAAATTGGCACAGGTGCAGCCATCCTCCCCAACCTCAGCTCCGCATCAAAAGAATTCCCAGCCGTCACCCGACTCCACCTCACATATGCACGCAAGATCGACCAGGGCCACGGAGGCGCGCGGCATTTCTGGCGTAACTGCCTTCCACGACTGAAATATCATAACCCAGGCGTGCCGATGACTGTGGCACAAACCTCCAACCAGCAAGGACCCGCAGCATTGACAATTTACTTCGCCGAACGGGTCGGCAGTGCCGCAACGGCCCTCGCAAACGAAAAGAAGGTCACCGACGAGCTTGCCCCGGCCCCCGACGCCAACGAGCAATCGGCCGTTCTGGATATCAAGCACCGCACGTACCAGCAAATCTGGGATCGCGTGCAGGCCATGACGGGTGCCAAGGTGGTCCCCGCCACTCCCGAGGATATCGCGCTATCACAGAAGTTGGCAGAGATCAAGAAGAAGTCTGGTCCCGATCGCCAGCGTGTTGCCGCTATCCGACAGGCGAAGAAGGATCAGGAGCGCATGCTCGCTGAGGCTAGAGGCCAGGTGGATAAGCAGGTGTAAGATAGTGCAGTTTTGTTCTAGTGTTGTCTTTGGATTCGATTGATCCATCCAACCGGTTTCTTCGTCTTGAGAAATCGGCTGTCTGTAGCATAGCATCTTTTCCCCCTTACGACTATGTACTATGTATTTATTGGGAATATTTTTTTAATGCGCATGTCGCATTCTTTTCTTAGATTTCGTGAACGCTCAAATAGATGAAGACACAGAGATTTCAAATAGTAGTAGCAATAAATTGTAAATTCAACATTATTTGATAATCTCAGCGCCGTAGTATGCTTGGTAAGAATGGTCTAAAACAGATTGGAGAAAGAGAATCCCAGGCAAAGCTATGTAGCCAGTAAGATGTCCGAACAACGACTGAAAGAAGAGGGTGCATTCGAGAGAAGTGTTACATAACCTAGAACATTGTTAGCAAGAAGAATACCCAGAGAACAGGTTAAAGACATACCTCGGCGATTGACTGCCGCTCAATGATTGATTTCTGTCGCTCGTTGCGCGAAACACGGTAGTAATAGTCACTGAAGTCACCACATTTCATGTGGCGCAGGAATTCTTCGTCGTGCGTGATGACAATCAACTGGAAGTTGGCCTGCTGCTGACGAGTGCGGATAATGTCATGCAGCGACTCCGCCAAAGAGCGAATATTGTCTCGGTCCAGGTTCGTAGTGGGCTCATCAAGAGCAATGAGGCCGCAATTGACACCGAAACATTCAGCAAGGGCAAGACGAATGATGATACTAGCCAGAACCTTTTGGCCTGCACTGCAGCGGCCTCGCATGTCCATCTCGGCGCCTGACTTGACCATACAGACGCGGTAGTTGTACGATCGGTTGCCCTTGGCGTTCTCGTTGTCGGACCGGATGAGAATTGTGTCGACGTCCGTTCCGCGGTAGGTCTTCTGCCACAGTTCGCCAGCGATAGCGTTGATTTCTGCCATCTTTAGGCCGTGATATTGCATGATTGCTTTGTCAAGAGCGCCACCATATCGAGCCAGATCTTCAACGGCGGCTTTCGTGGTCTCGACCTTGATGTGGGATTCCTTGTATTTTGAAGATGCATCCTTATAATCTGTGTTCCAGTCCGCCAGCAGTTGCATCAGCTGGTCGTCCTTGGACTTCATTTCGCCCATCTTGCTCGCCTGTTTGGCAGCAAGGGCATTGTGTTCACGAGTCCAGCGTTCTGACTCTTGCTTGAAACGGCCTCTGTCCACTTCGGCATTTTGTGCTTCTAATTGCTCAACTTCTTCAATAACTGTGTTGAGGGACCGAGTGGCTTGGCGATATGTCAAGTTGTCCGAGTATTGCCGCTTTGTGTTTTCACTGTCCTTGAGTTGGCTTGAGATCTTGTTGATCTCCCTTGTGATCTCGCTTTGATCAGCTTCGAGTTTGTTAATTTCAGCTTCAATTTCTTGAAGCTCCTGCTTGCTTCGCTTAAGCTGGTCTGGACCCCCTCGTTGATTGTACGAGTTGATGTCATCATTGGCAAGGTCAAGCTGATGGATGTTCTCGGATAGGCGGCTAATCTCGTGCTGCAGATCTCGTTCACGCTCGTCGGCTCGCTGGCTGATATCATCATAACGGGCTTGGGCTTGAAGCAATTCCGGCGTGAGACTCTCGATATCTCGATCAGCCTTCTCAATTGCGTCCCGCTGCTGATTATTGAGCTTCTTAGATTCCTCCATCCGGATTATCAGGTCCGCCTTCTTTTCTAGTTGGAATTTGGCATTGTCCAGGTTGCTTTTCACATCTCTGAACTCAAGCTCAAGCTTGTTGATCTCTGACCGTGTCTTTTCTTTCTCATTTGTCACTTTGGTAAGGGTCTTTTTCAACTCCCGTGACTTCTCATTGATGGAGGCGATTTCCTCCTGGATGTCTTCCAGGGTACGAGCAGTTGAAGCGTCTTGCTGGTTTGCAGAAAGCTCTTGAATTTGTGATTTGATCGTCTTGATCTCGATATCGTAACGCGCGATAGTGCTCACTGTCTTGGCAAGCCCCTCGACGTTACGCTTGGTTTCTGTCTTCTCGCTGACCTTCCCGTCGCAAGTTTCCAGCTTCTCCAAAAGCTGGTCACGCTGGGATTCACATTCTTGCTCTTCTTGTTCAAGCTCTGGAATGACAGCCTCCGACAAACGGACCCAAGTATCGTAGGATGCACTAGCGGCACGGGCAGTTTCGAGATCTTCTTCAAGGCCCTTCAGAGTCTCGTCTTCGGCATCAAGACCAGCCTTCTTAACTAGGGCATCCAGCTTCTTCGTAAAGGTCTGGAGTTCCGTCTCGTTCTTGAATGATCTTTGACATGTTCGACACAGCTTGGTGCGCTTGGCAGCATCAAGACATTTGGTGAGATACTCTCCCATTCCGGCATATTGATCAGCATCTTTACGAGCGAGATCGTACTGTGCCTGGCGCTCCTTCACGATTTCAGGGTATTCGGAAGGCTCTGCATCGACTGCTTCATGGATCTCCTTCACGCATTCATCGAGTTCCTTTTGGCGTTGCTTGAGGTTCTTTTTGGCTGTCTTGAGCTTGAACTCTACATGCTCCAATTCTCGGCTCACGCCGTCGCGCTCTCGCTCTGCATCGGCCACCTGCTTTGATTCGCTATCGAGGGCTTGCTGGAAGCCTCGCTCCAGTGTCTCAGGCTTCCAGTCTGCGCCGACGACCTTCTCAAGGCGATCGCCATGGGCTCCTTTCATCGTTTGTAGACTGCGCTCACGGTCCTTTGATTCTTTCTTGAGGTGATCTAGGCGAGCCAAATCGCCGGCCTTCTTGGTTGAATCAATGAGCTCGGTGTTCAATCTCGAGCTTTCATCCTCAAGGCGACGGATTTCCGCATTTGTGTCCTGGATATCTTGATCCCAGGAAGCACTTTTGGCCCGCTCTTTCGCGTGCTCAAGGTTTGACGTGATATCCTCGACCTTTGACTCAAGCGCAGCCTGGAAGCCCTCATCAACCTCAATTTCATTGAGTCTTTTTTGATAGGCTGTCGCCTCCTTGTCATTCGCAGCAATCTGTCGTTTTGCCGCGTTCTTGGTCTCTTGCAGTGCGGACTTGGTTTGCCCAATATCATTCAACTTTTCTTGAACCTCACGAAGCTCTTTCTGGGCTTCACGCCTCACACGATCCAGAGATTGGTTCTGCTCCCTTAAGAGGCGTTTGATCTTTTGCATGAAGGTGTCGATTTCAGACTGATCCATTTTCTCGTCAAGGCCACGGATGTTGTTGGCGCGAGCAATTTCATTGATCATGTTCTGGCGCCTTTGAGACTGGCGGTCGAAATTGGCCTTGTCGTTCTCAAACTTTCCATTCTCAGCTTGTTTCAGGCCAAGGCGGTGCCGAGTCTGCTCGATCCGCTCCTTAATTTCCATATAATTTTCCTTTTGTGACTCCTCTTGTTGCTGGTACTGAATTTGCTTCGTTTCGAATTGCTCTAGGGTAGATTCAAGCCATTCATCGGAGTCATCAAGCTCAACCAAATGTCTCTTGAGGTTGTCAATTGTGGTTTGGATACTTTTAGCTTCGATGCGCTTGCCCTCAAGAGCACCAAGAACCTGGGCATAACTTTCTGATTGTGTCCAAGCCTTATCAGCAAGCTCCGCGACGCGTCGCATCTCTTGCGACATCCGCTGGGTCTCTTCGCGCAAGGCCTCGATTTCATCTTGAAGTTTGACGGATCGCTTTTCAGCACGGTCTGCCTTGTCTTTGTCTTCTTTCGCATGCTGCTCCATGATCTTATATTTGCCAAGCTCCTCGTTCTGCTTCTTTCGCAGTGTTTTGATATTGTCAATGGCCTTGGTGTACTTCATAGCCTCAAATATTTCGTCAAACCTTTTCTTCAGCACAGATGGTTCACTCATAGGCCACAGACTTTCATCCTGGTGGCAGAAAATGACCGAATCCAGCACGGCCTTTGATACACCCAGATACTGCGGCATGATTTGGTCCAGCTCAGCCACTCGCGACGAAATAGCCGTGCGTTCGCCATTTTTGATCATGAGCAGCTGGCCTTCTAGGGTCTTCTGCTGTCGGGTGGTTTTCTTGACCGTGAGCTGCAGACTGCGCGTGGCAACCATTTTCGCTCCGGAAGTTGCCTTGAATGACAACTTCACCTGGGCCAGTACCTCTTTTTCGCCACATAGCTTCGGGTCGTGGATAAAAGCACCGCCTTTGCTGTTCGGAGGGAGATCGCCCGTTGTGGCATATTTGAGACACTCGATGATCGTCTAAATCCGCGTCAGTTCCCCGCTGGCCGCAACTCCTGGTCCGCCATTTCGCCAATTCATACCGTCTTTCCTGAGCCATTGTATCCGACAATCAATGTGAGGGGTGTGTGAAACTGGATTGTTTCGCTGCGCGTATTATCGAAGGAGCGGACTCTAGAACAAGCGCGGTTTGATGAGCATGAGTGTAATTACTCTCCGCAATGGTTGCACGCGGATTAAAAACTTCAAGAGACATACCCCAGAATAGAGAGCTTATCAATCTTCGCTACAGTATGTTAGATGACTGTTGGAACCTTCTTTTTCTTGCCTAGGTATAGAGCTGTTGCACTTACACCTAAAACCCAGTTAGCATTGCGACACGAGGCGGGGAATGATCAGCACGGACATTTTGAGCAAAAGTTCCGAGCTGGGCGTTTGAGCCCGTTGTCCGTTAGCTTTATCAAATACAGTTGAATAGAAGCTAAACAGTGAGAATCCAGAAATGAAAGTTGATCATTGATTGTGATCAGTCACATAGTCCCGCGTCAATGGCGACACGAAGTCACGTGAATTGGACTAGCTGAGGCCCACCGGGATCGGCGGTGTTGCCTAGGGGCAGAAACTATATGGATGATTGGTTTGGTTTCCTCACCGCTTTTAGTACCGCCTAATTTATGAGCGGTTATATCGGTAACCTTAAGAGGCTTCTTACAGCCCACAATATGTACGAGACAAGAACATGTGTTGTCCATACTTATATTTGTCTCATGTTTCCCTGCTCATGTCAACAGAGCGCCAATTGAATGTGAATCGCCTGAACTAGCTGCAGATAGCTTCTTAGCCTGTATAGATCTATATGAAACCAGGGGGCTGTGTTATAGGCGCTGAATTAGTTCTATTTATATATGCCACTCTTATTATGACGGCAAGCTGCCCTTCTACTTCTACACTTATTTCCACGATGCAGACTTTTAAGAGCAATTGCACTCTTCCTCCGGAGAGCGTTGGTTTTATTTCTTCCCCAAACACTCGCGGAACCCTAGACATTGTCTGGTCTTGTCTTAGTGTGCTTATCCTCTGTACTTGGTCTGTCATTCATCTCAACGTACCAATTGAGTCGACTCCAAACGGCAAACGCCAAGAATACACACGAAAACTCTTCCTATTCTGGACAAAGCTTAAATGGATGTTTATCAACCTTGCTGCACCAGAGTGGGCACTAGGACAAGCTTGGAGCCTTTATCATTCAGTAGCTCTGCTCGAGGACCGGTTTCAAAAGTACCAGAGGGAAGACAGTGTCCCATGGAGCCGCTCCCATATCTACTATGCAAATATGGGTGGATTCTCTATTCGGTTTGACGAGTCATTGAACGAGCCAGAGTTCTCTCTCCAAGATGTGAAACCGTATGAGACGAATCTTTTTTCTCCATTGAATTACGGCTACCCCCCGCAGGGCTTTCGGCCATTGCCGCGGGCTCAGCGACAGTTTTTTGATCTTTGGATGATGAACGGCATTGATTCGCCAGAACATATCCAAGAATCGGTACGAAAGATCTCTAAATCAATAGGAGATATCAACTGGAAACCAGACCAATACAATATTCGAGCTATAAGAATGGCAGTTTTCATACTGTCTCCAGACCATTTTGCTGATGAAAAGGAACGAAAGAAATTCTTTTTCAACTCTGAAACTTGGTTTGAAAATATCCGTTACCTTTGTGGGGATCTCTGGGTGCTGGATGCGAACCAGCTTCTCCTTGCACGCGAGCGTGGAATCATCGAAACGTTACCTTCGATATCTCAGGCTTCCCTAGATGATCGCAACAAGGGCAATTTATTCGTCACCCTTCTAACGATATTTCAAATATCGTGGATGGTCATCCAGCTTATTGTACGCCTGGCTCTAAATCTCCCCTCGAGCCAACTTGAGATCGTTACTCTATCCTTTGCAATCTGCTCAACGATCACATACTTGCTGTTGTTTAACAAGCCAAAGGATGTCCAGACATCACACACCATCAAAGCCGCTAAGCGCCCATCTGCGGAAGACCTGATCCTCATTGCAAACGCTGGCCCGTCGGGGTTTGCATTCGCTCGTGCGAGTATATGGATTCCTAACAACATCCTGAGCCGAGATACTACACATAGGGAAGATGGTAATTTTATGATGTATCTGGCATCTTCAGCTGCAATGATTATATTTGGTGGTATCCATTGCATTGCATGGAATTTCAAATTTCCTACAGAGGTAGAGAAACTATGTTGGCACATTAGTACGATCATAACGGCTGTTACTGTACCACTATTATGGGCTCTCAATCAAACGCGGGGTAAAGTCATCGAGTTGATAGTCATGTCTGATACTGATAGATCTCTGCTAGCGAAAGTGGCATCGGTTATTCAAAAGGCATCATGGTTGATTGTTCTAGTGTTTAGTTCTGCGAGGCTATTTATAACGGTCGAGGCTTTTCGTTCGTTGGCCTTCCTTCCACCAGGCGCCTTTTTGGGTACCTGGTCAGCAGGTATACCACATGTCGGTTAAACTTGGGAAGTATATACGTCGGATGTGTTATGCCTATAGGTAGAATTGTGAAATCTATAAGGGACATACAATTGTACAGATCAATATCTAAATTAGGCTTAGCGCAAGGTTTAAACATGCTTAGTAAGAGTGGCTTTTATTCCCAAGGTTCCATTCTCTCTTTTCGAGATCCAGACCCTCAGATGTGTATATTCTAGGCACATTTCTTGACATGTATCGAATGTACTGCAGGCCTTGATCTTGGATAATGAACCATTCCATCACTCTACTATATCCGTGCCCTGCGGACATTGTTTATTAGGGAAATTCCCCATTTATGAGAGACGCATTCGAAAGCACTCACGCATATCACTAGTGCCATTATATCTCCTCGTTTCGATATCTCTACACCGCACTCGATATGGCTATGAGTCGCCCACCCTACGAGGGTATGCCTCTAACCACCTCCCAGATAAGATCGAGCTCCAATGAGGGGCATCCGTTGTACACAATGGAGCCACAGCAAGTTCATGGGTCCTACAACGGTCAATACGGTGTGCAAAGTGCTCAGCACGGGGGATACCCGAGTGTACAAATCGATCCAGGCTGGACAGAGCGAGTTCTCGATGAAATGAAGGACATGCTACTTCTCCTCACCCCCCAGGGCCGAATCACCTATGCCACACCATCCTGCAAGAATATCACCGGTCGTGTCGCGAAACAACTCGAGGGAAGTCTTCTGGCGCAGTACATTCATGGGGACGACCAGCCAATCTTCCAGAGAGACTTGGACGAGTCGGTCGCCGCGAACCAATCGTTCCGGACCCATTTACGATTCCAAAAATCCAACAGCACATATTGTCTCATGGAGGCCTATGGTCACCCACATCTTGCAAACCAGGATGAGCGTCAGGCAGGGAGAACCACATCCGCCAATGGGCCCTGCACCGGCTTTTTCCTCGTGTGCCGACCGTACCCCAACAAGGTCTCGCAGCTCCTTGACTCTTTTCTGGAACACAAGATCGAGAATGCACGTTTGATCCAACAGATTGCCAAATTGAAGCAAGAAGAAGATGAAGATGCGACCGCGACTCGGGTGCCCTATTCTATGCGCGAACAGGAAATTCGCGCGCCCGTGACCGAGAATCAGGGGCAACAAGCCACTCGTTCAGGGGAGGTATCTAGTGATCCTGATACTACGGACACCGTGGGGCCGAATTCGGATGAATCCGACACGGGCCAATCGACAAGCTATTACCCAGAGCCACCCAATACCCGGGAAGTTTACTCGCACATCGACGGAATCGAAGTCATGACCGGTCTTTACTACGCAGAGGGCGAGAGATCGCAAGGCCTCAGTACAGGTGTCAGCCGTGGCCGTCTTGTACATTGCGATATCGACATCACCACTTCTGCTGACCAAGAGCGCAACGCTCAGGAGGGTGACCGGCGTAAAAGGCTCAAGGCCCAACATGTCTGCAGCGACTGCGGAACGGCCGACTCGCCAGAATGGAGAAAGGGGCCTAATGGGCCTAAGACCTTGTGCAATGCTTGTGGCTGTAAGTTTTGTCCACCGCCTCTTGCAATCCCTGTTCCAACCTACATATCACCCAGCGTGCTTGTAACCTATCTACTCTTGGCACGGAACGAGCTAACCCAAATGCCGTATTTTTAGTGCGCTGGTCTAAGAAGGAGAAGAAACGCCAGGAGTCGGCCTAAGCTTCAGTTCTTGGTTTATTTGCTTTTTTCGGCCTGGTGACCTTCCCAGGTCTTCTCTCCATTGTCTTGCATGTTCGCGTCAAGATACCCCCTCACTTCTTTGGGCGCCTTGCTGGTCAAGCATGCTGTCCATTGCGCTGGAATTCCAATGATCTTCAGACAAGCCCCGTGCTCGCTATCGCATGGGTGATGATATTATGTCCTGTGAGATCGATCTCTTTGGTCCAATGTGTATAGCTGGTCTTTCTTTTGGATTTGCCGTGATCTATTTTTTCAAACATCACTAATGTACTACGGAATGTATATGTTTTTCCTTGGTAACTCAAAACTTAATTATGGGGAATTAAATGAATTTTGACAGAGTCGGAGCAAATCAAGAGTCTAACGCCGAAGATGATGATGGGATATACTGAAGACCGTGGGTATCTTGCCAATAAAAGACAAGCCCACGGATAGGGCGAAAGGAATGGGACTAGCCCATATGAACGCCATCCTTGTCCCATTAAATAATGAAGGTGATGTATGGGCAACAACAAGTGGTATCACAAAAGCAATTTCTCACGAACAATTCAACACCAAGTCCATTCAGGACTTGGCAGCCTTCTTTGGCGGCGGAGGGAAGTACATCGGTGACGCTACCGAACTCTGGGGGCTGACTTCATGCGAATGCAGGGATGTGTATTGGGGCTGAGGCACGTGGGAGTTGTCTCTTAGAGGGAGGTCCGAGGCGGTACTGCCATTACCAAGTCGGTTGAAGGCCAGCGTGCGGGGGGTGAAGGGTGAGATATTTCCTCCAACGGCCATGGGTGGAACACCAGGGGTGCGGGGAACCATGGCTGGTCCTCGAGGCATTGAGCCGGGGGTCATGGGGATCATGCCGGGAGACTTGATGATCTCTTCTTCGAACTCCTTCTCGATGCGACGCTCTTCTCTCTGTTCCAGGATCTCTGCCCGTTCTTCGGGCGTTATAAAGCAGGAGTGGATATTGAAGCCGAGAATAACTGTATAGTAGATACTAAAGGGACTGTTAGCTAACTTTCTCCTCGCGGAATGGGAGTAAAGAATAGTAGAGTGGAAAGGGTCGAACTAACACCATGATGACGGTCACAGCAAAGAGCGCTTTAGCTTGCATGCAGTATCCAATATTGGACTTTCTAAATGCGACGCTGCAACTCTTCGCAATGTACCACGGGGCTCCTGACTGGGGATGCCTGGGGTCTGACATGTCAGACCCAGCCTGATACACTGCTGACACGAGATACAGAACGATCAAGGACATGTGGACGGCGACCGCAACAGGAGGATAAAATAGGTTCATCCAGTGAGTAGGTAATTTTGTGATGAGGAAGAAGGTGCTCAGAACACCAAGGACAAGGTTGTAATTGGTGATGCTATTTCCAGGGTCAGCGGCTAGCTCTCGAATATTGAGTATAGTGAAAAACATACAATCCGGACCAAACCATGGGGGGCTTGAATGTTCTGTAGTTTGCTGCTGCATATAGTGCCTCGTTTGGAGCACTGTTGAATCCATTGTCTGCTCCATCTTGCCATAATAATGTCCGGTATAGATTGTGGGAGGCGATACCGGTTAATGTCAGCATTACGATGGTGATCGGGAACTCCCCGGCCATCAACCAAAGGAGGATCTTGTGGTGCTTGTGCTTCTTGGGAAAAAAGAACTGCATTTTTGCGGTGATTTTGGAACGTTCGAGTGTGTTTGGAATCGCAATAAAAGTCGACTCTATTTCTCCCAAACTGCTCAGCTGCAGCGCTTATGACAATTCAAGCTTTGTGCAACGCGATTTAGCCAGACCGGCTGGCTTAGTTAGACATCCAGTCTATCGCACGTAAAGGACCAAATACTTCAGCGTGGTAGAGAAGGTCAAAAAAGTCGAAGAACATAAGTCTGGGCGATCCGGAGGACGAGCGTTAGATATGAGCTCGAGACCAACCAGTGGCCGAAGGCACAAGCCATCGTATGCAGGAGGGATCACGAATCAGCATGGGAATACCGCGCAGAGGGACTGGTGTGCATTTGGGAAGTGCATCTGGCCAATGCTTGATGGCGACAAAGCGCCAACGCAAGTAGCAGCCCGGGGCCATCACACCAATGAGACGACGGGGATCGGTGAAAGACCACCGCTCGTCACACGCTAGACTGTGTGATAGGATGACAGATCTGCATGAATCCCTCATCACATAATTCCCCTCACGGAATCAGTGAAAACTTGGCATTCCAATGGAACTTGCAGCTTTTAGTACACAGCGCCTGGCGCTACTGTGGGGTGATGTGAGTCGCATCTGTGACTATGCAGTGCTCTGTACATATATCCATGTTAGTCCCGGAGTCAAGAAAATGGGAACAAAGAGGGTGATTTCTCGTTGATAACCATAGCCATCAATAAGTCCTGATTATTGGATTCTAATGGAAATGGTCGAGGATGGCTTCATGGATTGTAGAGAGGAAGTCATGTGGTCGGCAGAATCCCGAACTGTGACTTCCAAGGTTCTCATATTCCAAGACGACAATCGTGCCATATTTCAGGAAATTCATCTAAATCCACTTAATTCCACCCGTGTAGCTTGATATATCTTGATGAAGTCGTTCCGGTCTTTGTGTCCACTTGTTCTTCGCTCAACCATTCCACTCCGCATCCTTCGGCCTCAACTTGGATTCCGTTCCATCACGAGAATCACAGACCAAATGAATTCTCGGAGAGAGGATTCAATTCCTCATGAACTACGCACAGCTGCAGAGCCCCGGCAAAATAGACTACATCCAGTGCGACTATCGCACATCGAGCAGATCAACCCTTCTGTTCGGCTACTACAGTTCGCTCTGCCTCCCCAAGAGAATAATGTATGGGTTTCTTTTATTTTCTTATCTGATCTCTCTCTATAAATGCCTCTATCTCCTGTATCTTTGACTCATATATCAAACCCGGCTGCCAACTCCCGGAGCTGGTTGTTCGCGCCGTTGGATCCTATCCATCTATGCCCCGCACGGCTGGTTCCAATCACATCTGGGCACTTTCTATCACACACTTCCAGCCAAGGATTACCATGGAGTACTAGTACTAACGCAATTAGTAGAATAACGGTCAACAACCATTCAGCTTCCTCCCGGGCCAATGGCTTGATGTCCATATTCCCTCTATCACCCAAGCGGGCGGCTTCACCATCACTTCCACCCCAGCAGACGCACAAGTGCTGCCGTCACCAGAGGCGTCTATAGACTCATTGGCTGGCGAAGCGCTGGAACCATCTTCAGAATCTCAAGGTCGACCACCATATGTGGAACTGGCCGTACAAAACTCGCCAGGTAACCCATCCGCCGCATGGCTATGGAGACCCAAAGAAGATATCCTAGGCAAGGAGCTGAACATCCGAGTTGGTGGAAGCTTTGTCTGGCCTCCCACTGGAGTCAGCATTAATGATGTCAAGAACGTGGTCTTCGTTGCAGGTGGTGTCGGCATCAAGTAAGTGATATTCCCCAAACACCATGTCCGTTACATCTCCGGGGTATACAAACATACACCAGCACAAATCAAGACCTCACTTGTTTCGATCATGAAGAATTTCTAACAAAATCTCAGCCCTCTGGTATCCATGCTCTCCCACTTAAACAACAACGAACCACACACCCCCAACCCAACAACCATCCGCATCCTATACTCCAGCCGCCTACCGCAAGACCAGGAAAAAGCCTCGGCAAACGCAGTACTAGACCAGATATTGTTTCTCCCACGTCTGCGCCAAATAGTCCGATCTCAAGAGAGTTCGCATCGGCTCCGCATCTCGTTGGACCTTTTCCTTACGGACTTGACCTCCTCGCCCGACCTGTTCTCATCTGGGTCTCCTTCTGATCTCAAGATTCATCCTATGAGGATATCTGATAGTGACCTGCGCTCTGCGGCTGTGGGTAAAGATGGTGAGTTGGATTCTCGGGGCACAGTGTGTTATGTCTGTGGACCTCCTGGTATGACTGATTTCGTCGTGGAGAAGTTGGTCGATATGCTAGGGGACGGCGGGGAGCAACGCGTTTTCTTTGAGAAATGGTGGTGAGGGCAGATTGGTAGCGATGTAAGATATTCACATGAGATCAATTGTAGTGTTTGTTATTCGATGAATGAATAGTCAATGTTACAGCCCAGGCCTAAATTGGAGCAGAATAAGGCTAGGAGAAATGGCTTCAATATTTCAGAAAAAGATAGGACTCCCCGCAGACGCCGACCTAATGCAGGCAAGGGGCAAAAAGATATATGTACAGGAAATAAGAGAATGGCCGCCGACAAGAACGGGAACAACAGTATGTGAGAGCAGAGGCAGCACAGACACGCTGAAATCTCGATACAAGATGGGGGAGAAGAAGGAAAAGGAGAATGTAGAGAGAAAGAGGGAGAGAAGTCAGACTTCATTGGGATGCTTCGTCTGGGCTGGTGACGGCACCGCCATCCACGATCATCATTTCGTCGATTTTGGCTTCTGTTTGACCCCATTCTAGACGCTTGTATGTCGATACACGACCAGGGCCTCTGTCAAAGTCGAAGAAACGCACTCGTCGGACGAAGTTCTCGTAGCCACCGTAGCCACCGAGTCCGACACCGCCGCCGTAGCACATCCAGAGAGAGGGCTTCTCGTCGGCATCTTGCTCGAGCATGCAATAGTCATTGACATGATCACTAGAGAACAGTTAGTCTTCATAACAACAATGCAAAAGGAAGCTTGGACATGTGACTTACTGTCCACAGCTAACAAACAAGACGCCCTCTTCTTCGAGGGCGTCCTTGAAACCAGAGTTGAACCCTGGTGCAGTGGGAGGTTCCATCCACGCACCCTTAAAGTACTTTCCTGACGTTCGATACTCAGGGAGTGGAATGTGGATGAATGCCACGTTCATGTGGATATGGTTGTATTCCTGATGTTTTCTCCTCAGGCTTTGGGCAGTGTTCTTGAACCACCGAGTTTGGCTCGGCTTGATCCAATCGTAGCCGCGGAATTGACGCTCGTCAGGGGAGTAGGAATGTGTGTCAAGGAAATAAAAGGTCAAGGCAGAGTGTGTGCTTTTGCCCCAATCGAGGACTTCGACAACGTAGTTTCCGACCCCGTCAATGTCTTCGGGGCCAGCGGCTGAAAGAGAGTAAGGAAGGTCTTCATATATGGTCATGAGTTGTTCTCGGTTAAGGTCACCCTCGTCGTCGTGGTTTCCAAAGATGGCCGCGTAAGGAATTTTGCGGTCGACCAAAAGCTTTACGGCCTTGTAGAGAGCACTTTGTGCATCTGGGGCGGTCTCTCCGTTGATCTGGTCACCAGAGAGGACCACCATGTCCGGCTTCTCTTCGTCGAGAAGTCGTGCGACGAATTCCAAGGTTCGGGGGTCGGCTTCACACTTCCGGCCAGCCACCGCTTCCGCAGGCACAGGGTCACGGCAGTGGCCGAGACCCGTGCTCATGTGAAGATCTGCCAACTGCATCACCTTGAATTTCCCGTTCTCGTTGATCCTGGGAACGGGTTTCTTGTGTTTGGCCTGCGGGTGTCCTCTTCGAATACTAAGGCGAGTCTCCAACTGTTCCGTCACACTATCCAGGAGAATCGGGGTATCTTTGACTTCCCAGTTGGGACGGGGGTCAACGGCATCCGCTCCATAGAGGACATCGATGTACGTCACGGCTTTTTCAGAGTCGCTAGCATGGCGGGAGGACGAACGCTTGAGCCAAATGCCTCCCGGTCGGGGTTCCCACGCTTCGATTTCCGTCTTTCCAACATATTCAGACGGGGGAGTGATACGACTGATTTTCAAGTCGATGACCACCTTGTCATCAAGGCCCAATTCCTCCTCCTTTTTCCGCCTGAATTGAACGTAGGCACTCGAGGTCCAGCCCGAGCGCAGGTAGAGGTCCTTATCGACGCGGTACCAGGTTTCTGGGTCTAGCTTACAGCTCGAGAATGGGTTGAGGGTAGAACATGTTGTGACGGTCACATCTGTGATCACGTAGCCGGAATAATGCGACGGGAGATGGCCATGGATTGAAGAGGGAAGGACACTAAATCGAGTATCGAGAACGACCACGACGAGGAGAATGAATGTTGCGAGTAAAACGAGCTGTACACTCGCTCGGACCTACGCAAATTAGGTGTTAGTAGACCGCTTCACAGGGAGTAAAATAGTGTCATACTAGCCGGCGAGCCATGATGAGATAGAGATCACCCTGGCAAGGACTTGAATAAACGCGAGGCGCACTGTCGCATGATGCCCAACAATTGCAAGGGTATAGGGCAAAGGAGAAGACCACGTTCGGTCAACTCTAGAATATAAAGGACAAGTATAATATGTTTGGAGGATTGAAGTTCGCATTTCACCCTCGACGCTTGGACTCTGAAGGCGGTGACTCCTGAAGGGCCTAGCCTTTGGCTGATGCTTGGTGTTTGTACTTTTGGTGATTCATTGACTTGGCTATTCTTACTATTTTTACTGATATTTTCATTATCCTTGTCTAAATTCATGTGGAATTTATGTCCATCGTCAACCATCATGTCCGTCTAGTTGCATGTCTATACAAGTTCTACCTCCGTTCTACCCGAGCGAAGCCTAAGCCTTGGCAGCCACATCACTCGGTGACACTTTGCCACTCAAGATGTCTTTGGTAGTCGAGAGGATTGTCGACCAATTCTCGAAAGTCGTGTAGGGCATTCCCCTGCGCTGGCAGTAGGTCACCAAATCTGCAACGGCATTAGTTCAATATCTCGGAATCTTGGTTCAAGGCGGTTCGGGCAGATGAATACCTTTGCCTTGTTTGGCGAAGAGAAGATCGGTTTCTGCAGCCGCAGACAAATCAGAAATACCGTCTCCGGCGTATAGAAGAATTGGGCGCTCTCCGTCGGGCAACGTGGCATAAGGCTTAATCTCCAGGGACTTGTCATGTCCGAAGTGGCTGGTGAATGATTGTCAGTGAGGCTGGGCGAAGGGCAATCGGATTGACCGTGGCTTACCTGTCATCATGGTACTCAATCTGCCAACCACCCTCGCTGTTAATATCCTTGCCATCCCGGCTCACGGGCTCGTTGGAAATGATGGTGAGGTGGCTGGCTGGCTTGTGGCCGAGGAACTTCTCCAACAAAGCGCTGATAATGGGACGCATGCCAGATGACAGGATGACAATGGGAACATTGTTATCCTTGGCCCAGTGGTAGAATTCCTCGAAGTAAGGGTCCAGCTTCATGTTCTTCAACAGCGTCTCGATGCACTCGTCGTATGGGGTCTTGATGCTTTCAAGCATCTCGCGGAAGGCATCTCTATAGTGAGAAAATATCTATTAAAGCTTGCTTGTGGAATAGACAGTGTCTTCAACACTCACCGGAAGCTCAGAGTCTCGTTAAGGACCCGGTCGCCCAACGCGAGGCGCTTCTCCCGGCCGAAGCCAAGGGTATCAATCTGAGTGGTATAAGTGAAGGTCTAGGAGAGGCTAGGGATGCGATATACCATGAAGTCATTGCCTGCGATTCTAGTTAGCATTGAAGTATTGGCACTTTGTGAGGAAGCACCTACTATCGTCGACTGTAATTGTCCCATCGAAATCGGTGAAGAAGATGAGCTTAGGCTTGGTCTCCAAGTATGGGAGAGCGTTGGAACCCATATTTATAACAATAGAAATGAATCAAAGAAAAGAGTATGTACAATCCAGAGAACAGAGAAGCCCTGAAATTAAAGATGTGCCCCTCGATTCGGTGAACTCGGGGGTGGGTCGAGCGGTACCGCAGTGGGCTAGTCTCGATCAGCCAGATTTTCCTTTTCTGGTTTTTATTACTTCAGGCTTTATATTGTTAATATTATTATATATCATGTCTCGTCTGCGCCAGGCACTACAGCGCGTCTTTGGTGCGACTGCAACACCAGGCGCATTGCGCTCTCGAACCATTGACACCAATTTCTCCATTATAAAAGGTAATGGTGCTGCAACGCGTCTTCCTAATCTCGGACTAACGAAATGCGCAGAGGGAGACCGAGTCATTTTACACGGCAAACAGCCCTCATTATCAAAGGCATTGAAGCGAGGTGAAAAGCTCCAGACTCCTCGCGGGGCAGTGGAACATGATAGCATCATTGGGAAACGGGTCTGGGACACGGTGCAGTCTCGCAAAGGTCAATAACACCCAATTGTCGGTACTCCCTGCACATGACACTGATACCTCCGTTATACACAGGCCTGAATCTCCGTGTCAGTCTCCCAACGTTAGAAGAATACGTCGCCCTGACTCCTCGCTTGGTCACTCCGGTACGCGCATCACTCCTACGGATCAGACACGGAGATACATTGGACTCACGCTATCCCAGTAGATCTACCCACAGGATGCCAATTTGATTGCTTCCCTTCTCGATATTCACGTCAACACCCCCGCCGCGGGCGAAATACAACCCACCCTAGAAATCCTTGAGTCTGGAACAGGCCATGGATCTCTAACACTACATCTGGCGCGTGCCATTCACGCCGCCAATCCCACCCCTCCGCCTCGTCCATTGCGATCCCAGATCAACTACCTAGAAGGTCGTGTCACCAGGCCGAGTGAAAAGGACACGGAACAAACAGGAGAGAAACCCGCTGAGAAAATTGCGGATCCAGCACAGGAGGAATGGGATGCGTGGCGAGCGCAGCGCAACGCGATCATCCACACAGTCGACGTATCGCCGAAGTTTGCTGCGCTGGCTGAGAAGAACGTCCGGGGATTCCGCCGTGGAATCTACGCAGGCAACACCGATTTCTATGTGGGCCCCGTCGAAAACTGGATCGCCCAGCAGAAGCAGCTGCGGAAAAAGACTGGCCTGGCTTCATTGACTGGAGGAAACCCCGTCGATCCGTTCCTTTCACACGTTATTCTGGACATGCCTTCCTCAAACTTGAGAATCCCGCATGTTACCCCCATGTTGAAGCGTGATGGCTTACTGGTGGTGTTCATGCCTAGTATCACGCAGATTGGCGAGTGTCTGCAACTGATCCGGGACCAGCGACTGCCCCTCGTTCAGGAGAAGGTGATCGAGCTTGGCTCTGGAATCAGCGGCGGTCGCACATGGGATGTGCGTTTTGCGACTAAAAAGTCCGGCGCCGACCCAGCGTCCTGGGCTGCCCCTTCAGATGCTGAGGGTGCCACTCCTGTTGAGGCTGACGATCAGTCCACTGCCTCTGATGCTGCCTCTGAGATCTCCACCCCAGAGGAGCCTCCTAAGGAAGGAGAGTCTGTCTTGGTCTGCCGGCCCAAGGTCGGAGTCCGTATCCAGGGCGGCGGCTTCGTGGCAGTCTGGCGCCGGATCGAAGACCGTTAAGTTCTCGGTTATCCCAAGCATATAAATCCCGTACCTGTACTATATACCTGTATTCTATTGCATGTCTGATATAGACTGAAGCCATTTGTACCATATAGAGAATTGTGAGAATAATATTATCGAGATACCTGAAAAAATGATATAACAAGAAACAACCACTTCACAGCTTCGCTTTATCCTCGGTCTCCACATCTCCATGAACGGCAGTGTCAATACCACCGTCAGCCTCAACAGCCTGAACACCCTCTGCCTCATCGTGAACAACTGCCCCCTTCGTCTTAGGCACTTTGCTCAAAATGAAAGCCTTCACATCTGCGAAAAACTTCTCCGTCGTCTCAGGCAACTCAGCATGCAGCTTATGATAAGCCCCCTCATAAGAACAAAAGGTCACATCACCACCCTTCTCCGTCAACTTCTTAGCAAAGTCCTTCGTCGCAGGATAACTAGTAATGAGATCCCCATCTCCATGTCCAAACCAAAACGGCAGATCACTCTTCACCCACTCCCCATCCACATCGAACATCCCCTCCAACCAAACACCCCGATCCAACATACCGGACAAACCCCCAAAAGTCGCCGTATCATGGCACAGCTTATCATCCACGAACTCCTTGACTGTGACCTTGTTACGAGACAGCAGATTCGCATCAAGAGGCGAATAACGCTGCTTATGGGGGATCAGCTTTGCGACAATCCGTCCTGCTGCGACGATCAGCTTTGAGGGGCGGGATGATGGATCTATGGCGACTAGAGGGGAGTACAGAAGTACGCCGCTGAAGTTGGGCCGGCTGGTCTTGTCTTGGTTGTAGGGTGACTCTGGGTGGAAAATGTAGTTGAGGACTTGGCCACCGCCCATACTGTGGCCCATTAGGAAGAGGGGCAAGTCAGGGCGGGATGGTAGGCTTTTCAGGAAAGAGTGGATGTCTGCGAGGACTTGGGAGGTTGGGCCTGTATTGCCCTGGTCACGGGTTTGTTTGACGCTGCGGCCCCATCCTCTGATTTTGGGTTATTAGTTAAGGGGTGTTAAAGTGAGATAGATCGTTTTCTTGGCGGGCATTGATATTGGGATATCAGGATAGGGTTTGGTCTTGGTGGTTTGACACTTACCGCTGATCGAAAGACCTGACCTCGATGCCTGCCGATGCCAATGTTGGGAACAGATCGTTGTAGGCATTGCCTAGGAAGGCTTTATGTCAATAGGCTGTCTTATGCATGCTGGGATGTCTTGGCTTATTGCTCATAATAGACATAATAGACTCACAGTGGTCACTGAAGCCATGGATAAAGGCCAAAACAGCGAGTGGGGACCCGTTGGTCTATAAAGTAGAGCACATTGTTAGCGTTGGAGATCAAGACGCTTATCTTGAGGTTCGAGTACATCTCAGATAATCTAGATAGGGATCATAACTGTGTTGCAAATTCAAACATACCTTCCATGTCTTGGCATACAGCTCAAGGCCGTCTGGGAGAGTGTGCACGCTTTCTTCTGTGTCCATTTTGACTGTGCAGAAGCTTGAGAGGTTGGAGAGAAGAGGTGACGTTTTAGCATGGATACGACCTCGGATTCTACCTCGGCATGTCAAGCCACGATACTAACGCGATTCAGATCCACTAAGCCCAATTTTATATTTAAACTCTAATACAAAGGTATGTCCTAACACAATTATTATACAATAAGACTATAAGATAACATAATACAGGAATATCAAGCATATTCTAGAGGCGTCAACTTAGATCCTCCCTTTGCTCTGGCAAAATTTAATTTGCTAGACTTGGTCGATTGTGACTGTTCCCTTTTTTTTCGTCTCTTTTTCTTCTTTCTTCCTTCTTTCTTTTATCTTTCTTACTTTGATTTCTACTGTATATGTAATCCCATCGCCTGGCCCCGGGACTCAACCTTGAAAGATCCAAATTCAGATTAGTAAGAGCCTCCAGGGGCCCACGGGTCTTCAGACCCACTTAACAGAATGTCACTGGAAATGACCGCATTTGATTGGTTGCTAGAATATTATGTTCTGTCCAATCAGATTGCGCCAGTGACATAACTCCCCGAAGGCTATGGACTATATATAATGTCAAAATCAATATTTCGTAGTCTTATCCTTTGTGGCATTCCAACCTTGAGATCTGTATGCTATCTTACCTCATACAAAGAGTGCCCTCAACACTTAGGCCAGCAATCTCAAGATCTCTGCTGTGCCCCAAATATCCAGCAAGAATGTCCTCCGTTGTTTCTCCAATGATTGCAAATACCCAATCCAATGTCTCATATCGATCTCTGGCATTACCTCTGAGTGACGATAGCCCTGATATCCGCCAGAAGTATCGACCATTTATCCTTGAGGACAATGCAACTGAAGACTGGGTCAACAAACTGGACCTAGCCACCGCAGCGGACATGGCAGAAGAAAACCTACGAGTTACAAACCAGAGGCTGAAAGTCCTGGTACTCTATGGAAGTCTTCGCAAAAGGTCATACTCCCGACTGGTGGCATTGGAGGCATCCCGTATCCTCTTCCGGCTGGGCTGTGACGTCCGCGTCTTTGACCCCGAAGGTCTTCCTATGAAGAACGACAGTGATATTACCCATCCCAAAGTACAGGAACTGAGGGAACTCAGTGTATGGAGCGATGGGCATGTCTGGGTTTCACCCGAACAACACGGCAATCTGGTGAGTGGCTCTCGACATCATCTAACATTTGATGCAATATATACTGACGTGTTTTTCACCAACTCTAGACTGCTGTGTTCAAGAACCAGATCGATTGGATTCCGTTGAGTACTGGAAGTGTCCGTCCCACCCAAGGCCGAACGCTGGCCATTGCCCAGGTGTGCGGCGGATCCCAATCATTCAATACAGTCAATTCTTTGCGTATCCTGGGTCGGTGGATGCGTATGTTTGCCATTCCGAATCAGTCTTCGATTCCCAAGGCATATACACAGTTCCTGAATGAAGGCCAACCGGGAGATCAACGACTGATGCCTAGTGGCAATCGGGATCGTCTGGTGGATTGCATGGAGGAGTTTGTCAAATATACGATTCTGATGCGGCCTCATATCGGTCTGTTTGGTGACCGTTTTAGTGAGCGGGAGGAGAAGAAGAGAAAGGAGAAAAAGCGGGATGTTGTTGCAGATATTTGAAAGACATAGAATAACATAGAGTTTCAAAAAGACAATGTATTATGGTATAATTGCTCAATATACTTCGTTGCCTCGACTAATAACTCGACGAGTCTTCCGGCTCAAGCTTACATGCTGTACAGAAGAGTGAAAGTTGAATTCACAGTGGAATTTGTTAGCCGATTTCGGTCGTCTAGTCAGGCAGTGACCAATCACACGAGACAAGTGACAGTCTGAGGCCCTCTTCGACCAATCATCACCAACCAGTGACATGCTAACACTGCTCTTAGCTACGATGTAAAATGAGCACAATATATATCCTTTGTCAACTCTATCTTATTTCGCTCCTATCGGCCTCAGCCACAGCTGAAAATACCAAGGATGATCCTAGCAACGTAAAGTCGCCCGCATGCCTTTCTCTAGGGTCTAACATACAGCTTACTCTACTTAAAGAACTGTAGCCGGCTCAATTTCCCGCCTCGAGCTCCTCCGATGGTTCCAAGAGGGGAAGAGAATCGGAAAAGATTTCGTTCTGGTTGACCTACGCCGTACTGATTTCGAGGTAAACAGTCTTTTCACCTGCTGTCTGTTTATATATCTTACAATAATATACAGGGAGGCACAATCCGGGGCTCTCTGAACCTCCCAGCACAGAGCTTGCAACCTACTATTCCAACTCTATATTCTGTCCTCTCACAAGGTAGAATCACTAATGTGGTGTGGTATTGTGGTTCGTGCGAATTGATTTTCCCGTCAAGGTATTCTCATCTGACAAAATAAGCAGGTTCTTCTCGAGGTCGTGGGGTGCGTGCTGCCAACTGGTTTGCAGAATATCTGGAAGAGCAAAAGGACATAAAAATGAAGAGCCTTGTGTTAGAAGGAGGTATTAAGGGATGGAAAACAGCTGGTAAGGATTATACTCAGCTTATGGACGAGTATGATGGGTTGAAATGGGAGAGATAGCTCTATTCTGTCGCCTAGCATCAATCATGGCTTCGTTTTATTTCTCCACCAGCCCATATTTATGGCTTTAGGCCTTCGTATATATGTGCAAGCTCATCAAAATCATTAGCACATTTGTCATGCTAGCGAAGTTATATTCTAGTCTTGCCGATCATTCTGTAAGTAGCCATGCCAAGTAACAGTGACATACCACATTCGGTAAGTTGAAAGTCATAGGTAGCCCTATAGTCGAGATAGCCTTGCTTTAAATATTGCTCGTTTCCCTTCATATGTATGTATAGACTATTGGGAGTTGAATATTTGACGAAGAAACCCCCACACAGACACTTTCTTCCCCGCAGTCTCATTCTTGATGATATACGATGTCGCTTTCTTCCAACAATTCTCCACCCCCAGACGGCGGGTATGGTTGGGTGTGCGTGGCTGCGTGTTTTTCTATTAATTGCTTTACTTGGGGTGCAGTCTCTGTGAGTTGTTTCTGTATCAGTCGTGTCAGAGACCACTCAGCTCATATTCTTAAAAGTCATATGGCGTGTATTTGGCACACTATCTCTCAAACAACATATTCCCTGAAGCTACTCCCATGGATTTTGCCCTAATTGGAGGTCTAAATTTCTCCATGGCGATGTTGGTGGCCCCTGCCGTTACAATCATCGCACGCAAGTACGGCACCAAGTTACCGATGTTGCTCGGGCTGGGGCTTTTGGCATCGGGATACATTTCTGCGTCCTTTTCAAAAAGAATCTGGCAGCTCTATCTGTCACAGGGAGTCTTGATTGGATTTGGAGTTGGCTTTATATATATACCAAGCATTCCTGTTCTCTCTCAGTGGTTTGATAAGAAACGAAGTCTTGCCAACGGGATCAGTGCAGCCGGATCAGGTATCGGTGGATTGATTTTCTCATTTATGGATGGTTCAGTCATTCAGAATATATCTCTTGCCTGGGCTCTGCGGTTGACGGCTATTACCAGTTGCTCCATGCTGATCATTGCCATTTTACTAATCCGAACTCGCAATGAAGCTATACAGCCGTCCCAGCGGGGATTTGATGCGAAACTCTTGCGTCGTTTAGATGTGATTCTATTGCTATCGTGGGCTTTTCTCAGTATGCTTGGCTATATTTGTCTGCTATATTCACTTCCTGATTATGCACGCTCCATTGGACTCTCGGACAACCAAGCTACAATTGTTAACGCGATCTTGAACTTGGGAACTGCTGTTGGTCGACCACTGATCGGTGTTGCTAGTGATCGGTTTGGCAGAATTGAGGTCGCTGGCCTCTTGACTTGCTTTTGTGGCATTACTTGTTTTGTCATTTGGCTTCCCTCAACATCATACGGGGTTCTTGTTCTCTTCGCTTTCATTAGCGGAGCTATTCTCGGGGTCTTTTGGGTTGTAAGTTGATCCAACCTATACTGATTCTATATGGCCGCTAAACTTCCTAATAGACCGTGGGACCTTTATGTGTTGAGGTAGCGGGATTGGAGCAGCTCCAATCACTCCTCTCTTTGTCTTGGTCTTTTATTGTGCTCCCTACAACATGTAAGGAGCTCACATACATTCTTGATAAACTTGAGCTAATATAAAATTATAGTTTCCGAAGTTATAGCACTCAAACTACGTCGTCTAGGGTCCCACTATCCATATCGAAATGCCCAAGTGTTCTGTGGTATCTCTTACATTTGTGCTAGTGTGGCTTTGCTTTTTCTCTGGTTGATTAAACGCCGGAAGGTACAAACAGGGACCTAGGAAAATATAGGGGTACCTAATCGAGAAAAGCTGGGTTTGTTTTGGTTGTTAGCAGAGAAACACAGGCTCAGCATTTGAAGTATATTTGCCGCTTAGAAAACCTGACCTTAACAATATTCGATAGTCTTTGAAATAGACAACAGACAACAGACCAATTCAATTTGAATAACTTATGTCAATAATAAGCGTTAATCTCTTAAGGAACTTCAAATCCAAGATAATACTCAACCCAAACAAATCGCGCAAGCTCGGAGTCGAAAAATTCCCAAACGCAGGAGTTCGGGGCCCGCGGACCCCGACGTCAGCCTCTGCGTCCTTTTTATACATACACAGAGTCACAACCATTCCTTCCAATACTTTGGCGACATATAAAGCAAAATGACCACATTCGATGGCGCAGAAGTAACAACAGTAAGTCCACCCATCCCACTGTATACAACCCCAACCCCCATCTAACCCAAACAGGCCGCCATAATCGCCGCGCTAGCCAGCGAAGGCGCCATCCACCCAATGGACACAGTAATAACACGCATGCAATCTCCAATGTATAGCAGCGTCTACAAGCACCTAAACGGCACATTTAACCGCACCCTCTTCAGCGGGTTGTACCAAGGCTTCGGACCAACATTCGTCGCAGGGACACTTTCATCAGCAGCTTTCTTCACAGCATACGAAGCCTCAAAAATAGCGTTTGAGAATGCACAGGCTGCTGGATATATGCTTAGCATCCCCCGACCGCTGATTCACGCTGCTAGCAGTGCTGTCGCCGAATTACTCGCTTGCGCTATCCAGAACCCGGCTGAGGTATTGAAGCAGAATGCTCAGGTTTTTCAGCGGCCGCTTCATGATAAGGGGGGTCCTTCTCCGACGATGGAGATGATCCGTCAATTTCGGAAATATCCTTCTGGATTGTGGGCTGGATATACTGCTTTGGTTGCGAGTCAATTACCGAATATTTGTCTTACGTTTTGTTTGTATGAGATGTTTAAGGAGGATTTGCTTAAGCGGTGGAAGACACAGAAAGATGATATTGGACAGCAACTTGAAGCGACTGTTTTGAGTGCGGGTGTTGCGGGGGGTTGTGCATCTTGGTTCTTTGTTCCTATCCATGTGGTCAAGACGAGGATGAGGCTTGCGGTTGGTGACCAGGTAGGCTGCACCCGGTCGAGTCTTAAGGGAACTTCTGGCTTATCACCCCGTGTTGGGGCATTTACTATTGCTCGAGATGTGCTGCGGAAGGAGGGGGTAGCTGGATTGTTTCGGGGATCTGTTTTGACTTGCGTGGCAGCCGTTGTGGGAAGTGGACTTTATATTGGGTGTTATGAGGGGAGTAAGATATACTTGTTCAATTATCAAGGCACATAATTGGTACAGCTGGAGATTATTCCAAGCTAAATGTATCATAATGTATGTATAATATAATAGAATCCCTCTACTCCTTCAATCTTATAACAGAGTGAAAAACACTATATTCGCCTACTAGAGCTACAAAATGCAAGGGGCCTGCGAAAGAGCCTTCCATCGTTACATTTCAAGGCGTCCATGCACTATCAAAGGTGCGTGCACTGCATATAGAGCAGGGTATCGGGGACTAAGGTAGAGCTAACTAACGTCAGGCTTATTAGCTCTCCAAAGGGTTACACTAAAGGTCATTTGCAGATATTATGCTTATCGGTCTCACCGAATTTCTTGTTCTGTGTGCTAGTCTAAGGTTCATAGTAGTCTGGGATAGCAATCATACGTGTATTAAAGTGTCATAACCATCAAAGCATTGTGCCCAAGACTCCATGGCAAGGTCTTGGCCTACATTTAACAGCAATTCTGCTGACCATTTCTACAAAAGAACACCGATTGAAAATGAACAAAGCCACGCTCTATTCTTGATTGAACCTCGCATATCACGGATGGCACAATAAACACGTACATAGAACAGACAGAACTCCCTTCGCCTGATCGAAAAAAAATGACAAAAAGCAACCTCGTCACGGGCAATAAGCAGATACCCTTCACCACCTGTTCCCCCCGAACACCAATCCCCGATCCTAAGCGTCGTGAAGCCGTCTCAGATGACGTTAGAGATTAGGTGAGATGAAACCGAGATAAATCAGGAAACTTAACGGAAGAAGACACAGGAGATGTAGAGAGTGAGATTGAGGGACAAAGAGGGGGAGTTTGGAGGGAAGAGAGAGCGCCAGAGAGTAAATGGAGACTGCCGCACCGTTTCACTACATCCAAAGGACACGAGGCAAGACCATTGTTCGAGGAACAAATACTCCGCTAGCAAATCAAGAGGATACAGAGGAGGATAAGCAAGAGGAAAAAGGAAGAAGGACGTTCATAAGCAGGAGAGAGAAAAAAAAGCACGAGAAAGAAGAAAAAGAAATACGTAAAGAAACACCATAAGACGGCTGGCTAGACAGCCACCACCCAAAAAGATTCCGAAATAACAAGCACGAAGGAAAGAAACCGGTTGGAAAAACACCCCCATCTCCGAAGATCTCAAATGCTTCCATGTCGTTAGTGCCGTTGTGGCCCAAAGTCTGCCTCTACCACCTTGCCCTTCTTGCCCTTTACCGTAAACTCCGCAAGCAACGCGACGTGATCACTGGGGAAGTGGAAATTCGGGAATCCGGGCACGCGACGCAGATACTCCTTGTCCACTTCGCCGAGCAACGCCGACACATGGAGAGTATTGGAAGAGTACCAAATGTAGTCGAGAATGGCGGTGAAGTCGGAGGTGTAGTTGGTGAAACTCAATTCTCCCATGGAGGAGTAGGCTGACTTCAACTTGAAAGGATGTGTCATGCCAACTCGGCTGAGGTTTCCGTAAAGTCGCTTCTCCAGATCGGGATGGGCTTCGGGAAGTCGTCCAGTGGAGATCAAGTTGTAAGCCGCAGAACCTGGTGAGGAGTTGAAATCACCGCACATGAGAACGGGGATCTGATCGCCACTGGTGTACTCCATCGACGGGGCGGGCTCCACCACGGGCGCGGTCTCTGAGCCACTTTCGGCCTCTGAGAAGCGGAATGCAGTCTTGTCCGTGCAAGCGGGCCATTTGGCATAGTTATCGGAAAGTTTGGTGATCTCCTCCATCAGAATCGCAGTCTGGATGAGTTTGACGTCCTTGAAGGCCGGATCCCAATACAGATGAGCGTTCACGCTGATGAAGCGAGCACCAGTCTGCCGGTTTTCTAAGAAGATCACAACAGCGATGTGGTCCTTTTGCCACAGTCGGTTGTAAATATCATCT